TGGGGTCGGCTATATGAATCCTAGAACGCCATTGCACTCGGTTTTGTGTCATGTCCTCCGTTGGATCCAAGTACTCTAAGTCTTTTCTTAGAGTCTCTTCCATAGTTTTCTTAGGTCTTCCTCTACCCCTTCGGCCCTGGACCTTTGTCCCATAGTCGCATTTATGTTATAAACTAACACGAATCTAAATGCATAAAAATTACTTCATATTTGTGTGATATCTTTTTATGAATTTGGATATTAACTTTCATTTGCAGGGAAGTTTAACCTGGGAAAACTGTATGAGAAGATTGGCTTCAACAAAGAAATTATATCAAGGGGAAAATATGCTGAAGTTCTTGCAGCTGAACAACGATCCTTCAGGTAAACAGATTCGTTGCCGAGAGTATCTGTTCTCTCCTGTATTTCTACAAATGGCAAAATTTTCAAACCCAACTTTTCGTTTCCAATACAGACCAGAAGAAGCAGAAATCTTTGCTAAGTCTGCACAGAATGCATATAAGCAATTTCGAGACAAGGCAGCTCTTTCCAGATCGATGACTGTATGCTGGTCAATTCATTCTTTGTTTCAGCTTCATGGACTTGCATTTCCTTCCGGTAACTTGAAATCTAAAAGTGTCCCAATGGTGTTGTCTTGGCAGGTAGATAAAATGGAGGAGGTTGCACAAGGGAGAGTTGGACCGGTAACGATGCAGCTTCACGGGGTTTAGTTGATGCTATTGGCGGACTTTCTCGCGCTGTTGCAATAGCAAAGCTCAAGGCAAATATACCCCAAGACAAACAGGTGTGGAAATCAACAAAATATGCTGGTTATTAACTTTGGGTGTGTGATCCTTTCTTTGAGATGTTCATGAACTGCTGTGCATGTGTGGTGTCAGGTTGCACTCGTGGAGCTCGCAAGACCCTCCCCGACACTGCCAGAAATTTTAAGTGGCATAGGAGCTAGTTTGGTTGGAGTGGATAGAGCAATGAAGGAAGTGCTGCAGGAGTTGACGTTTTCCGGCGGAGTCCAAGCCCGGATGGAGGGAATCATGTTTCAGAGACTGGAGGGAGCTTCTCAGGCCAACCCCATCTTCTCTTTGTTCAAAGATTACTTTGGCTCCCTCTAAACCGTATGATTAGCTTCCCCTCCATTTTTTTTTCTTATTCTGAGAGGGTTAAAATTGCATTTTGCTGTAAAGTGATCTTATATCTTCATCTTGTTAAAAATATTATATATATATACATATATATATATATATATATTTGTTAGCAAATTGTACATCTAGCACAGGTTCAAGCTATACAAATTTGAAGAGTTTTTAATATTTTTCAATTTTAATTTTTTGTTCAATATTGGTTATCCTTATCTTAATTTTTTCTGTTCTCCTACGTGAATATTGTTTTCCGTGGTGAACAATATTTTTATTTTTGAGTTTTCGTAGTCCGTTTTCGGCCCAATGAGTAAATAGTTGGATGAGGAGGGAGAGAGAAGTAGGAGGAGAGACAAAGGTAGGACGTAGGTAGACCTGTAAACGGGTCGGGTTTATCGGGTTTGGATCAGGTTTAGTCCGACCCGTTAAGTTAACGGATCATCCGAATCCGACCTGTTAAGCTACGGGTCATTCGAACCCAACTTGTTAAGCTAATGGGTCACTTATTTCACCGGTTAACAATTTTTTTTTGCATAGAGTTTGTTTTTTGTTGTTAAGATTTTATTAAAATTACTAAAACATCCTCAACTAACGGGTTGATCCAAAGTGACCCGTTATTTAATGGGTTCACCCGTTAGTGATCTAATCCGTTAAGTATCCATTTAAATACTAATATTAATGAGTCAGGTCGGATCAGGTTAATGGGTTGAGTTCAAAATGAAGGAAAAATTTTGTCCTAGCTAAGAACAAGTATGAACATTTGAATACATATGCATATTATTAACTCATTAATATAGGCATGCATCAAAAAAACAATTCAATAAAACCCATGACTTTCAAAGCCTAGTATATGGTGAACCAAAATAAACTCTTTAACAACATTAAAGAGAAAGAAGAATTTAGTGATTCTTTACCCTTGAAGCTCATCCTTGTTTACACAAGGGATTCACCCAAGTGGAGGGCCTTCAAGTCACCTCCAAGCTCCTTGAATCCTTCTTGTGTTTTCCTCCCTTTAGTGCTCCTTTGATGATTTGAGGAAAAAGGATTTGTTCTCCAAAACACCAAAAGCTTGATGTCTCTAAGTCTCTTCACCAAGGTTGTATCTTGTGAAGATGATATGGATGATTAAAAGAAGAAGAGATTGCTAGATGTTTCTTCCTTTAATGGCCGGCCTCTAAGAAGAAATAGAGAGAAAATGTCTCACCCAATTTCAACTTACCCAACCCTAAAGCTATAAAGTTGAATTTATACTTCATTTCTTTGGTGAGTGGCAGCTTGCAATTAAGCAAACTTTGCCCATCCAACCCTAATGGCCGGCCTCCTTGGTGTTATTGGGCTATTTGCCCATTTTGTTTTAGTTGTCATACAACTTAAACATAATGGGCCTTTTGGACCAAAACGCTTTTGGGCCCCAAAACCCAAAACCAACATATAAGCCCAATACGAACCTTTCGTATAATTAATTAACTAATTAATTAATCTTGACCATTCTTCAATTAAACCATTTTAATTGCTTATCCATTTCATTTGATTTCTTCACATACATCCTTACTCGGTGTACGATCCATTAGGTTCTAATTAGCGAGGCAGTGGGCGATGTTACTCTCTTAACTATCGATTATGAATTGAAACCACATTTCAATTCTCCCTTTCATTGATTAGTGTTTGCTAACCATTAGGGCTTCCACAAACCATGGTTGACGCCTAGCAGCATGTCATGGTTACCCAAGCTAAGTAGAATTGGTTGGAGAACCTATCCAGTTACAACTACAATGCAATACGGTCCTTCTCTAATACAATACTCTTAATCACATTAGTTTAAGTGATAGTTTGTTTCATGTCTACTATCCAATGTGATACTTTCTTATATGATTCCCTTGAATATGATTTGGAACAATCCTTCCTTTAGTCATATTCATTTGCTTTGGCCAAAGACTTTAGAATCATATCTTAGAGTATTCTCCCTCCACCATGGAAGGTTAGAGATCCCTTGTTGTGCATTCCATATGCCTACATGACTAGATAGCTTGACCCAACAATGCCGTGGACACTCCGAGGGAATGCCATTGACAGGATCAAAGATCAAGGACCTAACCATTAGACATCTATGATGCCTCAGGTCAAAGGACTACTTTGCATATTGCAACCTTAGAGTTCTTACATGACATGTATGTTCGAACTCTGATTTAATCGTAGTTCAGTGTACTCGATTACTCTTTCGAGCACCTATGTGTCTGTCTTAGTGTCCAACACCAAATCACTTGAGACTAGTCATACTCACGCTTGAGTCAACATAACACATACTAACCTTAGCGGATTGTCAATGCCCAATTGGCAATCCTATGGCTAGGAACGTTTTAGGAATGAACATAAGAGAAAGGTCTCGATAATCTAACTCACTTAGATCACTTATCTCTTAGAACAAATACATTCCTTGGATTCACTTATTGCTTAAACACATGATACAATAAACAGTGATTAACAATAAGATTTGCCCTCCATTAAACATATAAAAGTTTAATATAATAAGTATTCCAAAAAGCTATTACATCAAATGAGTGGCTTTGTGGGCATACTTCCAACACAAAATGCCAGGTCTAGACGTAGGATAGTGAGAAAATGGAGGAAAGAGGGAGAAACTGATGAAGTAAAAAAAGGAGAGAGAATTTTACTTCTAGAAAGAAACATGATAAATACTATCACCTTTCAATTATAGAGAGGTGGTATTGCCTTTCTAAATTAACTTTTCAAGTGCCCACATAAAACTTTTAAAACTTAAGCAGGAAAAAAAAGAACTTTAACGAAAAACTCCTGATTCTGTTTATTTTAATAAAAAATTATATTTTTACACAAAAATGTCAATTATGGTATTATTCACTTTACTCTTTATTTTGTCCTTAGCGTTAAAACTTAAAGTTTTCAAATTATTTTAATTAGTTTTCCTAGAAAAAAACAAGGAAAACGTTTGGAATTTCCGAGGAAATGGCTTAAATGCAGAACTGTGTTGCTGTTTTCTGCTGCTCTTTCAACGTATCAAGGATCTAACGGCTAAAAATCTCGTGACGGTATTAAAAATTCCCATATACAGTACCTTAACAGCAACCAGAAAATATAATCCTATGCATTTGGCATTAACAGAAACCCAGTGAAACATGCTGGTTTATATCTGGAAGTGTCAACTTACCCTATTCTGTTCTTTGGTCAGATGATACGGCTATAAATTAACTCCTCACCAACTTACCATCCTTGTCTAATTCCACCAACCACACTTTTTAAGTAAGGAATATTTTCCTGTGCCGAGAACGCGGTTTGGTACATCAAGTAGTATAATATAAGTAGTTGAATACTTAAAAATAAATTTACATTCTTGTATCAGGCTGTGTAAAAAATTTCAACCAGTTTTGTATGGAGAATGTCTTTAGTTTGGTTATAATTCTACTAAATTCACCGTGTTCTACTATTTACAGGAAGTCTTTATTGAGAATTCGCTTGGTTTGGGTCGGATATTAAGTCCCAAGTGTTTCAATAAACTTATCTCGTTCCGTCCCATCAAGCGAATTCTCAAACAATAGTTCTGAAAGCCAATCAATGCATCTAATTTCTCACAACTTATGGATTAATACAAGCATATTAATCCTAGTTATCTAATAAAATAAACAATAATACTTGATTAATTTATGCTTACACCAAAAAGTTAATTTGATATTGAAACCATAGTCATAAAACTAAACTGTACCCCAATTTTTCCAAACTGAGATACAATTAATCAGCTACAAAATAAAAACAATTAGCTGATGATTAAGAACAACAAAAAAACATCTAGTTTTAAATTTTCCTTTCCCAAAATACCCCTTTCCAGTTGACCTCTCATCGTTTCTTGCCATGAATCAACAGTGCCTTGTCTTTCTTCTCCTCCTGCTTTCTCCTTCCACCTCTGGTTTGCTTCTCCTTCTCTGGTTTCTTCTTGCCCTTTTTCTCAGCTGCCACCCTCTCTTTTCCACATGGACGGCCGTGATGATGACTAGGACCGGAGGATGCATCAGAGACCATTGAATCATCACTCTCTTCATCCTTATGATAACCACCATACTTTGTTCCACCATCATCATCTTCTTCTTCATGATGCATGCCACCGTCGTTTTCGCCTTCGAAGTGGGAGCCAATGTACATCGTCCACCCAGACTCACTGCTGTGGCATTCCTCCACACCTCCAAACACTTTTCCAGACTCCATAACTGAATTAACAGAAACCAAAAACAGGAGAAAACAGAGTAAAAACAGAGTAAAACAGAGGAAAACAGAGTAAAACGGAGGAAAGCAGAGTGAAAACAAAACCCTCCTCTCTCCCGTTAGTTTAGCTCAGAGATTTTGTTGAAGAGAAGAGAGAAAGCAAAGCTTACCAATCTCACATTTGAGAGCAACACCCCAAAAGCCAGAAGCACTTCTCTCCCTCTACTTATACAAAAAGCCAATAATCTGGCTGCAATAACTGTGAGTCCTACTACCACACTGCCGGGAAATCTAAATACCAATAAATTCTCTGACTTTTTTACTGAGCAGAAAGACAGCTAGCAAGCTAGAAGCTGCTGCCAGTGAAAGTGATATAGTCCATGCTGCATACACCAAAGCTTAAAACGCCTTTGCTTTCTCTCTTGAATTTGAAAGGACATCGGTGGTTGCTCACTCACCAGGGCTCTTTGGGTTTCTCTCTCCACGTGTCCTTACTGTTATCAAGGCAAAGAAGAGGGGCATAAATGCAGATACGGAACAAAGAAAACAGAGTAAGAGAATAATATTATATGAGTTCCATACATGGTGTTTTTAATAGGGATACAATAGGACCTATTCACTACCTCATTTAGCTTTCACAACTTGAATTAAAATCCCTACTTGTCTTTCAAAATTTAAAATCCCTACTTGTCTTTCAAAAAGGAACATCAATTTTTTAGTATACGAAACATGTTTACCGTCATCGTAGCGTTCTGATTTAATAATATGTTATCATTTGAAAGAAAAACTTGCAAACGATAATGTATTAATAGATCAGATGTCATGTGACAGTACACTAGAGTTATTTAAGTCCTTCTCCTGCTCTATAAAGACAAGAGTATGCGAAGTTAACGTGGTTGTATCATAAATGTATCACACAATCTTTACGTGTTTTAACTTTCTTACAGCTGCATGATAAGTTTAGGAACGTGTTTCACATGACAACGAACAAGTTCCTTGTAAATCCTTCTCTCTTTAAAAAGACAATAATTTGCAAAAGCTAAAGTGTCTTTATCTTTAACATATCACGAATTGCTACGTGTTTTAACTTTCTATCGCTTGTTAAGTTTGGAAGAACATCACACTAGCATCTCCGTGTCATGGGAGTTCTATCTTGGAGTTGTAGGATTCCTTTGGATAAAGAGATAGGACCTTGTCAAAAACCTATGTCAGCTAGGGGCTGCGATGCTCTCCACCAAAATTGATTGTTTTGACGATGTGTGTCTCCTGAAAGCAAAGATTATGTTTTTTGTATTGGTATTGGGTGAAGAGAAGAAAACAGGACACAGGTCCTTATCTAACAACTCAATAATCCCAATGTGCAATCCAGCTTGCTAATTAGTTTATGTTAATTCAATATTTAATAATATTACTTTTAAATCAAACGGTCTCTATTAATTCAGTCCATTGACTAATCTTACACAAAACAAAAGCTTTCATCTCTCTTTTACACAAGCTAAAAGCTCGAATTTTCTGGTCCTTGGATTCATAGACTCCTGACACCAAAATCCGAAGAAAATCTAAATTCCGTCAACCCTAGCATCCTAATATCATAACACTTATGTTGTATATTCATGCATGCTGCCGTAAATATTGAAATTTCATGTCAACTTGAAGAAAGGTAGTGAAGAAACCGCGTGCTTGTCTTGCTATTCATTGCTCTGCTTCTGTGCTTGCCGTACTGCTTTTGCAAGGGGACATGGATCCTCTCCTGATTCATGTATCCTAATCCATCAAATCTATGTATTCGGATCGTTAAAATTTGATATAACGGCCAAAGTTATTATAATTTTTAAAGTAAGTTCCTGTTTATAGTCGTTGAATCAAATTTTAACGATCCAGATATATAGATTTAATAGATTAGGATACATGGATCCGGAGAGAATCCATATCCTTTGCAAGGAGGTAAGTTTGGATGGGTGAATTTATAGTGATCGATCGGACAGATATCTTCCAAAGGTAAAAAGTAATATTTACTTCTGTATTAACTTCTTGAAATGATAAACATTGTTACAGTCTCACAGATGAGATGTGCTGGTGAAATTATGAATTTGCAAACCCTAGAAGCCAATGGTAAAAAGGAAAGTGCCAGAAGAACTTCCTTACAACCGGGAAAAGGATCCTTGAATTCTTTTCTTGGGGATCCTGGATATTTTACGATCGTGATCGTTCATCGTACATTGTGTAATTAGTTTTCGTTACGTATTATTTATATTTAATTTTAAATTTTAAATTTTAAAATGATTTCTGATCGCATGATGTACAATAAACAGTCACGATCACGAGATCCTTAGGATCCCTAAGAAAATGATCTGGCGAGGATCCTTTTCCTTACAACCGGAGGATTTGAGACCCGTTTAAGATATCTATGTTCAGAACCCAAAAGTCAGGAGATTCGGACTGCTGATTTTGTAATGCGGTTCACATTAGTCCTCCCACTGGCCCATGTTATAAATTAAGAATCTAAATCTCTCTATTCAATAGCCCGGATCTCCTGATTCTTGAACTCCAGAATCCTAACTCCAACAGAATGACTCTAAAACCAAAACTCATAATGACTCTATAACGATATCTCAAATCAATCATACATTGTACTATAAGACGCGTTTCGAGCATCTCTTGTGCGTAATTGAATGACATCATCTGGTTGTTGATAAGTACTCTTTCTAGTGTAATAGATAACACATGGATATATAATTGACAATTCGTGTGACGGTGGGCCCTCTTTGGTGAGGAATGGGCAAGAACAAAACGAAGTTAAAGAATTTAAATCCAGGTTGGTTTGGGGCACACCATGCCCCCTATGACCAAGATTTTTGGCTGTTTCCCACTTCCAATTTCTCTCGGTGGCTGGAATGGAACGTCTAGTATTTAGACCCGCAAACGGATAATAATTGTCTCGTTTGTGTGATTTTCATTTCAAATCTATTATCTTAACAAGTCGTGTCATATCAAAATCATTATCTAAATAAGTTCTGAAGAAATGACTCGATAACAAACTGATTTGTTAACAAATCGTGTCGTTTTATGTGGGGTCTGGATATGCAAGAAATTTCATGCTTAATGTCTAGATCTAGCAAAAGATATTTTATCAGGTTCTTAACGGGTGATCGAATAATGACTCGATTAGTTAACGAGTTTTTAACGATTAACTCCAATAAACGATCCGACTCGTTAATAGATTAACTCGAAACATGTTATTTTTGTATAATTACATATCAGGTTAACATATTGTGTAAGAAATTGTAAAGTCTACACTATTATCATAGAACCGAGCAAATCACATGGACTATTAAAATTTAATCTAACGGCTGCAATTATTATAACTTTTAGAAATACTTCATATTTGTAGCCATTAAATCAAATTTCAACACCTCAGATCCTTTGCCGAGGAGACTCAACCTCCTAAGCTTTGGAGCGGTCCCTATTATCCTACCCCATATATATATATACATATATGATATGAGGAGGAGACGGGGGTGAGGCCCATCGGCCCATCTATAATGGTAGTATTCTTGCTACTTGTCCTATAGAGGTGATCACGTCACGATTTGCTTCTTCCTTGTCTTCATGGCGTTTTTGCAATGGGGACAATGTTGTCTAAAGCTGGTTTGTGTGTGTTTTTGTATTATTAACACAGAATGTCGTGATAATACGTTTGTGTTATACAAATTCATTTCAGTTACCAGAATTTTTTTTTATAAACGCTAGGGGTTTCTCAAGGTTAATTTGACGAGTGCATGTACGCACTTTGTGCCAACACAAATTTTATCTTTGAATATCTAACGGTCCTCAATTACTCAGTTAAAACCACTGAATAAAATTCAGTAGTCAAATGCCACTTAGTACTACAGTCTAGTAGTTTTCCTTTTCACTTGTAAGTGAGTGGTCTTATATTCGATTCTCGCCAAAAGTGAATTTGAACCATTTATTACTATCATATTGTGAGACTAAGCTCACCCCTCTCTTAGTGTAGATATATCGTTTGTTCAAAAAAAAGAAAAGTCAGTAGTCAAATATGTGTTAGGTTAGGGGTAGGCACTGTGTCGTAGCTAACTTGGCTACAACCTGGTCTACAGTACCATTCCAATAATTGAAATAATAGTTTATGTACGATATTTTTAACTATTACCAATGAAGGTAAATATAATATTTGCTAAGTATTATTGGGTTACAAAAATTGTTTAGAAGACATTTCTGTCAAAGCATTTATGTCAATTTCACTGTTACCCGCAAGGAATTTAAATTAATTTGGCCAATTCCTTGATGATGAGAATCATCATTCCTGTAGTAGTGTTATTGAGAGAATGACCGATGAATTCCTTGCTAATTTATTGGGTGCTAAGTATTATTGGATCGAGAACATGGTTTGTGTTAATTTTACATATATAAAATAAATGGGTAAACGGTTACCTGTTTATAACCGTGGTTAATACCCATAATCGCCCATTTAAATTTCGCGGGTAAACGGTTATACCCATAACCGTTTATTTATTTAAACGGTTACCCATAACCGTAACCGTTTAATTTAAATGGACGGATAACCGCGGTTACCCATAACCAATGGGTATTTGCCCATCCCTAGGTCTACTGTTACATTGTAAGCTATTAGCCTTCTAATAAAGAGATTTCTCTTTGAATTAAGAAATAGTTTCAACGGCGTTAACTATCCACTATATGCTTGCCACATGTTCAATGTACATCTATCTAATATACGCTAGCCGCATGATGAATTGGTAATAAGAGAGTATCGCTGCTTGTTGTGACACGGTGTGTGCATTGGAAAAAATAAAATAGAATTCATTTGGGCCAATTGTATTGTTTACTTAAATGGGCCCACGTTTCCAAATTTCACTAAACAAGGTCCGAGACTTTGCAGTGGACTGCCCATGGATAATCCAAACCGGGTTTTGTAAGACCGCATGACCCGATTAAATATATACCGGTAAAAAACCGTTGAAGTT